TCCACCGATGATGAGCCATTTTGCTCGTTGAAATGCTTTATGATACATTCTGTCGTAATGTGTGGCTGATGCCTCGACGGCCATTCTTTCAGCTGGCTCATTATTGGCAGCCAGAATTTGTAACCTTTCCAAGTCAAATCATACCCCATGTGCTAATTATGAGGCCAATTTCTCCATATGCAGGTTTACATACAGTTCTTCCTGATGACAGTTGGTCAAGCAAACAAAATGGCCACCTACAGTGTGATGTCACAGGCTCCAAATTAAAGATAGACCCTACTTTATATTTTCAGACCTCAAAAGAGACTGAAGGGACAGCATTTTTTATTTCCTCCAATGACCATGACCTATTCTCACTTAAACTATGCAAGGGCAAATCTAATTGGGTGGTTTGGCCAACACGATGAGTTCTTTCAGGCATTCTTAGTCTAGAGGTCTTGTGTATTGACCATAGCAACTCTTCAGATTCCGCCTTTTATTTTTTGTAGGGTGGATAACGCATTGGGCTCAATATTTAGGTGCTAATTACATGCCCATAATCTTTTGCAATCAATCAGAACCTGAATTTTCCTGGCCTGGCAAGAGTGTGATCCTGATTGGTTTCCATGGGGTGCTGCATCTACAAATAAGAATTCTTTGCTGAGTAAGGTCTTGAAAGGGATTCTGATTGCTATAGGACACTGCATCTAGGAACTCTTTACTAAGTAATGCCTTTAGAAGGATTCTGGGGGCTATAAGGCACTGCATCTAAGAACTCTTTACGGAAGTAAGGTCTTGAGGAGGTTCTGGTTGGTATGGGGTGCTGCCTCTAAGATCTCTTTATGGGGGTAAGGCTGAGGGGGGTTCTGGTTACTATGGGGCACTAAATCTAAGAATTCTTTATGGGAGTAAGAGCTTAGGGGAGATTCTGGTTGCTATGGGACACTGCATCTAACTGCATCTAAGAATAAGAACTCTTTACAAGGGTAAGGCCTTGAAAAGGGTTCTGTTTGCTATGAGGCACTGCATCTAAGAACTCTTTAGAGATGTAGGAGCTGGAAGGGAATGCTGGTTGCCATGGGACACTGCGTTTAGGAATAAGAACTCTTTATGGGAGAAGGCCTGGTTGCTGATGAAACAACACTCGTGGCCTCATGACTGGAAGCACACTTGACGCCAATCAATGATTCAGATTATGGCACTGCATCTAAGAACTTTTAATAGGAGTTATGCCAGCCATAGACAGGTTGAAAACCGGATGATTTTTTCATCGTTGGTGATAACGTCGGCCGATCGAACGACCGATTTTTCATTTTTTTTTAAAAAACGTCCGGTTTTCGACCAGTCTATGGCCTGCTTTAGGCTTTGAGAGGGGTTCTGGCTGCTATGGGGTACTGAATCTAAGAATTCTTTACAGGAGTATGACCATGGGGGGTATTCTGGCTGCTATGGGATTCTTCCTCTAAGAATTTTTACTAGGAGTTTATCTTTGAGGGGTATTCTGGTGGCTATGGGACCCTGCTTCTAAGAACATTTACTAGGAGTAAGTCCTTGAGGGGTATTTTGGTTGCTATGAGGCACTGCTCTTTTTTACTATAAGGCTACTTTCACACTGATCCATTTTTTCTTCTGCTTTTGCACGAAAAAAAAAAAAGCGAAAAAAAAAAACATATTCCTATGGAACTCTTCACACTGATTCATTCAGTCCAGGTCCAGAGCGTTCTTTAAAATCCTGTTTGCTGCATTTTCGGTGCGGTAAAAAAAACTCTCCAAAAATACACCTCCCCGTTGAAATCAATAGAAAACACGGTAAAAATGCAGCCATGTTGCATTTTTGGTACGGTTTTTGAGTCACATGTCTTGCAAAAACGCGCCGCAAACACGGTAAAAATGTGGCCAAAACATGTTTTTGCTAGGGATCAGTGTGAAAGTAGCCTTAGGCCTCGAGGGATATTATAGTTGCCATGAGGCATTGCCTCTAAGAATAAGAACTCTTTATAGCAGTGAGTCCTTGAGGCGGATTCTGGTTGCCATAGGACACTGCATCTAAGATTAAGAACTCTTTACAAGGGTAAGGTCTTGAAAAGGGTTCTGGTTGCTATGAGGCACTTCATCTAAAACTCTTTACAGATGTAGGACCTGGAACGGGATGCTGGTTGTCATGAGACACTGCATTTAGGAATAGGAACTCTTTATGGGAGAAGTCCTGGTTGTTGGTGAAGCAACATACGGGGCCTCATGACTAGAAGCACCCTTGACGCCGATCAATGATTTAGATTATTGATGTTTCCAAAGCAGTACACTGCTTGTGTAAGTCTGGCTGGCATGTCACGATGGTACTTGTTGTTGTTGGTACTTGTTGTTCCTAAGTGACCATTGTAGATACTCGCCTAGATAAATAGCATATAATTACTCCAGCCACTACACCAGGTCTGTCACTCATGCAATGAGCAATAAAACCTTCCAGCAGGGTGAAAATGACTGCAAATAAGGTCTTCAGGTGGATTCTAGTTGCCATGGGCAACACACAGCACTTGGTGACTAGAAGCACCCTTGATGCCAATCCATCCAATCAGACTATCCCTTTAATGTTTCCAAGTCGGCGCGGGAGTGCAAACTGGCTGGGTTGTCGTGCTGGAACTTGTAGTTCCTCAGCGGCTGTTGTAAATCCCCAGCTCGATACATAGAACACAATTACTCCGGCCACTACGCCCGGCCTCTCACTCGCGCACTAGGGAATAAAACCTTCCAGCAGTGTGAAAATGACTGCACGCTTTTATTTGCATTTTTAGGAATATTCTTGTGCATAGCCAGCTGGGGTGAAAGGTCGGCATTTGCATATAAATGGAAAAGGATGGGGGCACGCGATGCAGGGGGAGCCGCGTGTGTATGATTTTCACAGCGGTGCGCCTGTGTTTGGAAGATTAAAGTACACAGCTTGCATTTGGTTATTGCTAAATGTGAAAGGGTTCAGATGCTAAATCACAGGCAAAGTAATGAGGGAAAAAAAAAAAAAAGAGGAAACAAGATGGAGACCGGCAGTGGAGGATAGCGACATTTAGCCCATGTTTACGCAGGTAAATAAATAGATTCAGGATGTTAGCCCGAGCGCGATGCAACAATAAATGTCTTTTTTTTTTTTATAGGAGGTGTGGCAAAAAAAATGGTGCTGGTTGCAATAACTAAACGGCACACTGGAAATTTTATGCTGTTGATGCTGATCTTTTCACTGCATGTATGTGGATAGCATTGTATAAAGAGGAAAAGCAGGTCTCTATTCAATAATGATCAGAAGACATCTGGCTATCCTTGTACGCTTCATGAGATCCCTCACTGTTTTGATTCTGTGGATTTATTTATTTATTTATTTCAGTTACTTATATAGCGCCGTCAATTTACGCAGCACTTTACATATATATTGTACATCAGTCCCTAACCCTCAAGGGGCGTACAATCTAAGGTCCCTAACCCTCAAGGGGTGTACAATCTAAGGTCCCTAACCCTCGAGGGGCGTACAATCTAAGGTCCCTAACCCTCAAGGGGTGTACAATCTAAGGTCCCTAACCCTCAAGGGGTGTACAATCTAAGGTCCCTAACCCTCAAGGGGTGTACAATCTAAGGTCCCTAACCCTCGAGGGGCGTACAAGCTAAGGTCCCTAACCCTCAAGGGGTGTACAATCTAAAGTATAGGCATAAGCACTAAAGATCAGAGCTACATAGGAACATTTTTGGTAACTCAATGTGTATTATTTATTAAAAACTGGAGAGTGCAAAATCTGGTGCAACTTTGCATAGAAACCAATCAGCTTACAGGTTTTATTGCCAAAGCTTAATTGAACAAGCGGAAGTGCAAAGAACATTCTTCCCACTGACCATCAGACTATAGCAGGGTTTCTCAACCAGGGTTCCTCCAGAGGTTGCCAGGGGTTCCTTGAGGAATGAGCAATTTTTGCCTCTTGGGTAAGTTCCCACTGACACCATTGATCTTTTTAGTAATCTGTAAGGGGGTAATTCTTCCCAATGACCACAATTGTAAGGGGCATTCTTACCTCTTTAACACTAATGTTTCATGAGTTGTAGATATAGTCATTTTTAGCAGGGGTTCCCTGAGACTGGAAAGTTATGTCAAGGGTTCCTCTGCGTTGAGAAAGGCTGCACTATAGTATCATGAATTGTAGATACAGGTGTACCTCGGTTTACGAATTTATTGCATTCTCCGGAACGTTTTGTATTGTGAAAAATTGATAAACTGAAACGCGTTTCCCATAGGAATGCATTGAAAAAATAATCCGTTCCGGTGGTCAGAAAAAAGTAAAATAAAAGTCTTTTATCTGTTCAAAACTCTTTATGAGGTGCACTTTAAAGGCATAAATACTGTACAGGGACATGATTAAAAATGTATTCGTAAATGCATTGAAAACCAATTAATCCGTTCAGGAGGTCAGTAAAAAGTAAAAAAAGTTCCGGAGGTCAGAAAAAAGTAAAATAAAAGTCTTTTATCTGTTCAAATCTCTTTATCAAGTGCACTTTAAAGACATAAATACTGTATAGGGACATGATTAAAAATGTATTCGTAAATGCATTGAAAACCAATTAATCCGTTCAGGAGGTCAGAAAAAAGTAAAAAATAGTCTTATCTGTTCAAAACTCTTTATAAAGTGCACTTTAAAGGCACGGGGCTAGCGTTATAAACCTTCCAGGCGCAATGCATCTTGGGGAAACTAACTTCGTATTGCGAAAAAAATTTGTAAACCGAGGCATTATTTTCAATGACTTTTCATTTGTAAACCGAAAATTATGTTAACCGAGGCGTTTGTAAACCGAGGTACACCTGTATAGTCATTGTTACCAGGGATTCTTGAGACCAGAAAGTATATTTCAAGGGTTCCTCTGTGTTGAAAAGGTTGGGAAAGGCTGGATTAGTTATTACTCTTAGCCATCAATCTTTAGTGGCTTTACAGAGCCTTTGAAAGAGATTTACTAAAACTGGAGCACTCAGAATCTGGTGCAGCTGTACATGGTAACCAGGGGTGAACTGACAACTCATGGGGCCCCTGGGCAATAGGGGATCATGGGGCCCCTGTGTCCTTGCCCAAACTCAAAAAAGCCTATGAAAAAGGTACCAGGGGCATCTCATGGGGCCCCCTACTGACCCCGGACCCCGGGTTTCCAAATGGTCAGTCCGCCCCTGATGGTAACCAATCAGCATCTAACTTCAGCTTGTTCAATTAAGCTTTGGCAATAAAACCTGGAAGCTGACTGGTTTATATGCAGAGTTGCGCCACATTTTGCACTCTCCAGTTTTAGTAAAAAAAACCTCATGTTTATGTTTAATTTTGTATTGTTATAGAAAGCCTCACACTAACGCTCGACAAAACTCCCTGTATTGTGAGACACTTGGAGGCTTGCCATTGGTGGACTCCCTCTAAAAATGTTACTTACCTGGATGTCACCAGCTTTATTATTTTTTGAGTCCCTGACTTGGAACGACCGTGTGGACCAGTAAAGTCAGAGGAAACTCAGGACTCCATATGCTTGTTCCAGGTCAGAAATGGAAAAAGTAAGCCTTTGGATCATCATGACAGGTGGGGGTCTATTCAGAGGGGTAGGGCAGCAATAATAACTTCATACTTCCTCCCTATTTGACTAAATGATTATTTCAATATTCTGATCAAACCTAGCACTTATCAATCATGTTTCGCTAGGATTTTGATCAATTTCATTCAACTCTGCAGGCTGGAATCAAATATGAAAGTATTTGAATTGGTGAGCAGAGCATTAAAGTGTGACACCCTACTTTACTGAGAATCTCCATTTATTGCTGATTGTATCCTTCTTGGAGATTTCCCCTTAATTCCTGTGACAATGACACAGAAATAACCAGAACAAATACAATTTTGGATGGAGATATATGTGCTTGATAAGGGTGTATGTTCAGCCATAAATGTTATCTTAGTTTTGAATAGTTCAGGGAAAGGTTAGAACTCATCCAAAGCTTTGTTAGAGACATTTCACTTCACTTCCTATCCTGTTGACAATGTTTTACCAGACAGGAAGTAAGGGGAACTCTCAAATAGTAACACAAACCAAAACTAGAATAGAAGTCTAGAAACCCTGTCAGATCTTTATTTCTGTCCATGTCCCTCTTGCTGATTTCCCCTCACTTCCTGTCTGGTGAAACCATTGTCAGCAGGATGAAAAGTAAGGGAAAATCTCTCTAATGGAGCATCGGATAGCAATAAAAAAAGGGATCCTAATACCCCCTCCCTATCCAAAACTAAGGAAAAAGTTTGACATACCTTTTAAGAGATAAAGCAAACCAATGGGTAGCTCAGGCCTTGACACCTCTGGATTAAATTTTTGGGTGAGGCAACCCAAAAATGCATACTGGTGGCAGCACACAACCTGGACTCTGGTGGACATATAATAAGTTGGGTGACATATCGTTAATGAGACTGGCATGATAATTCTACCATCTCTGGGTACTTTTCCATCTGAGCCATGTGGTATAAAGACATTCTATCTTCTTCTCCCACTTTCAGAGTAACAGATGGGCAGGCAATGCCTCTGGGAGATGGGAGCAATGTAGGTAGAAAAGGTGTGGCACCAATAACCAAGAGAGGCCTCTAACAACATCCAAGGGAGTATCTTTATCCTCCCAGTAGTATGAACTCTCCTCTTGCCACCTTCACTTTGTCAACCGAGGACAGATGGATGGTTAACGTCTGCTTCCTATTCCCTGGTTACCGAGGCGTAGAGTGACAGCAGATAAGAACCACTTGACCCACCTGCTCGATTCTCAGTTCTCAACCTGCTGCCAGAGCTTTTGTTTCTCATCCTGTCCCCACCTCCTCCCCCTCAGTCTGCGGATAACATACTTCTCATGTCACTGTATTCCCAGAGACGAAGAGCGAGGGACATGTACAGGCCCTGAGCACACCTGAAGGTGACCCAGTTCCTCTATGTAACGTCGGATTGGCTATGCTGTGTGCCAAAGTTCTCAGATTACAACAGATTTTATCAACCAGAGTTTTGGGGAACCCTGGGGTTCCTCCAAAGTATGCCAGGGGTTCTTTGAGAAGAGAGCAGTGGCAGGTTGATATCCTCTTTATACTGACCACCAATGTAAAGGGTCCCTCCTACACTGACCACCAATGTAACAGGTCACTTCTACACTGATCACCAACATAAGGGGTCACATCTACACTGACCACCAATGTTAGGGGTCACTTCTACCATGACCACCAATGTAAACGGTCCCTTCTGCACTGACAATGAAAGAGGTCACTTCTACACTGACCACCAACATAAAGGGTCATATATACACTGACCACCAACACAAAGAGTCACATCTACACTGACCACCAAATGTAAGGGGTTACATCTACACTGACCACCAACATAAGGGGGTACTCCTACACTGACCACCAACACAAAGAGTCACTTCTACACTCACCACCAATGTAATGTTTAATTTCTTTCCATTGTTAAAAACTCATTTTACGAGTAAATTTTTTGGTTTAATAAAAGGTAAAACATTTTTTGAAAGTGTATAAAAACCCACTTTTTTATTATTATGAAGTTAGCTATTATTACAGTCTGCATCCCTGAGATTCTCCCCCAGGAGATTCGCCCTCTCTGCTTGTTCTGATGACCATTGTCTCCTGTATCAAAAGTGATAAGAAATCCAAAATGTATTCGATTTTCAACATTAGTAACAGGAGGTGGGGGGAAACCATTCAATAGATATACCTCTTCTAGTGACAACTGTCCACCAGGGAATTTCCTTTCACTTTGGGGGGAAAAAAATGTTCCTACAATTTCAGTTTCCAAATTGTCTTGGCATGTTTCCATTAAAGTATATATAAAGACTGAACTTTTTCGTAGTTTTGGATAGAGTGTTGAGAAGTTACCTGTCAGGTATTTATTGCTGTCTGTGTAATCCTCTCTATTTGTTCTGGTGGTCAATTTCACAAGTGACGGGTCCAGCACGTTTTTTAAAAACCTGCTTGCTGCATTTTGGTGCAGGTTTGGTGTGGTAAAAAAAACTGACCAAAAATGCACCTCGCCATTGAAATCAATAGAAAACATGGCAAAAACACACCCGCATTGCATTTTTGGTGCGAATTTTTGAGTCGCATGTTGCACCTCATTAACACACCACAAACTCGTAAAAATGCGTTAAAACACGTTTTTGCTGTGTTTTTGCTAGGGATCAGTGTGAAAGTAGCCTTAGGCCTCAAGGGAGATTTTAGTTGCCATGAGGCATTGCATCTAAGAATAAGAGCTCTTTATACCAGTGAGGCCTTGAGGGGGAATCTTGTTGCTATGGTACACTGCATCTAAGAATAAAAACTCTTTACAAGAGTAAGGCCTTGAAAAGGGTTCTGGTTGCTATGAGGCACTGCATCTAAAACTCTTTAAAGATGTAGGACCTGGAAGGGGATGCTGGTTGCCATGGGACACTGCATTTAGGAAAAAGAACTCTTTATGGGAGAAGGCCTGGTTGTTGGTGGAACAATACATGGGGCCTCACCCTTATTTATTGCTGTCTGTGTCATCCTTGCTATTTGTTCTAGTGGCCACTGTCAAAGTGGTAGGGAATCTAATATACTGAGCTGTCACCAGAACAGGATAAGAGGGGAAATATTTCAATGAGGACACTTATTCCAGTGACAGCGAAGATGGGATTTCCTTCACCTTGGAGAGATTTCTTCTTACTTCCTGTTGTGTCTGCAGGACAGGAAGTAAAGCCTCTCCAATGGGACACAGAAGGCAAATAAAAACAGGTTGGATCAGATGGTGGTCCAGTGTGATCTCTATTGGTTGGATCAGATGGTGATCCAGTGTGACCTTTATTGGCTGGATCAGATGGTGGTCCAGTGTGATCTCTATTGGTTGGATCAGATGGTGGTCCAGTGTGACCTGTATCGGTTGGATCAGATGGTGGTCCAGTGTGACCTGTATCGGTTGGATCAGATGGTGGTCCAGTGTGACCTGTATCGGTTGGATCAGATGGTGGTCCAGTGTGACCTGTATCGGTTGGATCAGATGGTGGTCCAGTGTGTGACCTGTATCGGTTGGATCAGATGGTGGTCCAGTGTGACCTTTATCGGTTGGATCAGATGGTCCAGTGTGATCTCTATCGGTTGGATCAGATGGTGGTCCAGTGTGACCTTTATTGGTTGGATTAGGTGGTGGTCCAGTGTGACCTTTATCGGTTGGATCAGATGGTGGTCCAGCGTGATCTCTATTGGTTGGATCAGATAGTGGTCCAGTGTTACCTTTATTGGTTGGATCAGATGGTGGTCCAGTGTGACCTTTATTGGTTGGATCAGATGGTGGTCCAGTGTGATCTCTATTGGTTGGATCAGATGGTGGTCCAGTGTGACCTTTATCGGTTGGATCAGATGGTCCAGTGTGATCTCTATCGGTTGGATCAGATAGTGGTCCAGTGTGACCTTTATTGGTTGGATTAGGTGGTGGTCCAGTGTGACCTTTTATCGGTTGGATCAGATGGTGGTCCAGTGTGATCTCTATCGGTTGGATCAGATAGTGGTCCAGCGTGACCTTTATTGGTTGGATTAGGTGGTGGTCCAGTGTGACCTTTTATCGGTTGGATCAGATGGTGGTCCAGTGTGATCTCTATTGGTTGGATCAGATAGTGGTCCAGTGTTACCTTTATTGGTTGGATTTGATGGTGGGACAGTGTGACCTTTATTGGCTGGATCAGATGATGGTCCACTGTGACCTTTATTGGTTGGATCAGATGGTGATCGAGTGTGACCCCTATTGGTCGGATCAGATGGTGGCCCAATGTCTATGGAGCAGGAGCAATCAAGCATTCCCTGAGAATTAACCAATGAGGAAAGGTTTAGCTCCATTGCTATTGTTTTTTTCATGGTGAAAGCATTGTGGAATGAAAAGAAAAGTTTTGACTTTAGATATACTTTAAGTCCGGCCACTTTTTGGCAACAATTTCCATTAAGAATACAGGAAATGAAGCAAGCAGTGCACAGGAAACTGCCTGCACCCATGATCAGGACTTTACCGCCTGTCTCCTGTTCTGGAATATTTATACATAGTTTAATGTCACATTTTGATGTAGCCCAAGTTACAATCTAGGTGTATCAGTCCCCTTTTCTAGGTGTATTCCCCACTCTTCTATATGGCGTATTCAATTATCAGTAATAATACATCCTTTGAACCCAACCTGAAAATCAGCAACCTTAAAAACAGAGTTATCCTATTTATCCCCCATTAAACGCGATTCCTTGGCAAATTCTCGGAATGGCTGGAGCGGAAATCCTGTAAAAGGCCAGTTTTTCAATAATGCTGAAATGGAGATGAAAAAAAAAACCTGTTTTATAGCCCCCTCCCCGCCTGCTAACAATGCATCTTTCTCTCAATTTGTCCGCCAGCCACAAATATCATCCAGGAAGTGGGCAGGAATATGTGATGCCATCATTTATTATTACATTGCGCTAGATTGTAATGCAACCCCTTCCCATTGGCTCTTTCACGCCTCCCTGCATCCATTTTTTTTCACTCTTTCTCGGTTTTTCGCTGGCTGCAGAATAATAATAGAACAAGCAAGTGTGGAAAATATATTCTGGGAGTGGGTTGGATGTATGCACAGGCAGAGTGACTGAGAGAATCTATTTCGGCACAGTGATGATTAATAAAGAGCCCTCACGCGGCTTAGCTGCGGTACAAATGGTGATGCATTGATGCTGCTCTGAGCTTAGGAGCTCAGTTGATGTACAGCATGGTTCCTTATACAGTTTCTGATTGGCTGTTTGTCCTGAAATTCATCATTAGCAACACCCGATTTAAATTTGGAGTGGATGACTCCAATTTCTAGTTTGGATGACATTATGACTGACATGGATGTGCGTATTATGTCCATTAGCATCAGAGAAATGCACTATACCGCCTTATTGAGCCTTTAATAAAGCTGAACTCCACACAAACAGCTCAACACACAAATGAAATGTATATATGGGAGCTGTTTTACCTGCCAAAGTACTTGGATGTCTGTCTATTTGGTCCTGGGATTACCACAGCGCTGTCAAAAAGCACAGCCCTGTCTAGCAGGGTAGGCGACCTGATTTTATTATCTGCTGCAGATAAGTAACACTTGCAGGTCTTGTCCCTCCCCCCACCTGTGATTGGTCAGTGAAAGGAGAAGCAGCAGTTTATATGCTCATCTTTCACTCTGCTCTCTCCTCCTATCAGCATGTCCGCTGCACTGAGCACAATTGATTGGCCCCGTGTCCTGCTTTGGCTCTCTTCTGAGCTCTGCTGTGCTGCCTGGGACTCAGACTGATATCAGGTCAAATTTAGGTTTTTACAAAAATATATTTAATGATATAATAATGAATACAGAGCTGCATTAATTTGTGTATTTTTTTTTATATCTGCCTGGAGTTCAGCATTTAAGATGAAGGATGTAGTGAGGACTCTGCTCCAGAAGTTCACTGCCTAGTGGACTACAGAGTCAGGAGTTCTCTCTTGGCCTGGATTCACTCCTATGTATAGGTGTTACCTTATTGTGCATGCATTCCTGGGGGGGTAGCCCATTCATTTTAAAGGACCCCCAACACATGTCAGTTCAGTAAACATAGCACCACAATACATAGATGTGAATTCACATGTTTCGTAGTACAGTGCTTTGGCCAAAAATAGCCAGGTATGGTTTTCGGCATGTTGATCCTCACTGAAAGCCTGAAGGCAACAAACGTGCAGATGCAACATAGTGTTGCATGTATTTTATAGGTGTGAATGGGCCTGCCAGGACAAGCCAGTCATTGCATGGCATTAGCCCCAACAGCCTGTGGAGACGGGGATATATAGATTTGGCACAGTGTGTAGAGAAGGGTGTAGAGTTGCTCTACTGGCAGTGACGATAGGGATGTTGGAATTTGGGTGACACCCAGGAAGACCTCTCACATGTACTGTTGGGGCCAGGGGCAGACTGACAACTCATGGGGCCCCCGGGCAATAGGGGATCATGGGGCCCCTGTGTCCTTGCCCAAACTCAGAAAAGCTTATGAAAAAGGCACTAGGGGCATCTCATTGGGCCCCGTACTGACCCCGGGCCCTCGGGCAGTGCCCGAGTTTCCAAATGATCAGTCCGCCCCTGGTTGGGGCTACTCAAAGTCAAGGCGAATAAGTTGGTCCTGCAACTTTTTCAGTGGGTAGAACGCCAAGTCTTTAATCCTTTAATCCATTTGTGATGTGCCTTAGGATTCCTATGAAAGATGGCAAGCTCCTCTGCCGATCAAATGCCTAATACTCCTTACTCTGCTCTGCATTTAATATATATAGCTTTTCAGTTAATAGCATGGTAGAGTTATCCTTTACGTTGCTTTTAGTAGTTTCCCAACACAGACTTTCTATTGGTTGATTGGTGAAAGTTTAGAGCTTGCGGCAGTGACAGCTCTTCTTGATGAGAGAGGAACTGAGGAGTTATTTGATTAATACCAGTGAAAGAGCTTAATCATACCAGTTCTTAAAACACCTCTGATGATGTAACTGTTTGCAAGCAGCGAAGTAATTTTTACCCTGCACTATCTTTAATTAGCTCCTTGTCCCAGTGTGTCATCAAAGAGACATGACTCCCTGTAGGAATGACTACTAAATATATGGCTATAATGAGTGTTTTCTATATGCCCTTGGGGCTGTTGTGGTGGCCATATTGTGCCTTGGTGTGTACTGTCTAATGCGAGTGCCAAATGAATGATCAAGGATCCAAAATCTTTTAATGATAAAGAATGGTTTATAGCAGAAAAGCACAAAACAACCAATGCCTTCCAGAAGTCAAACAAACTCTCCCAAATGATTGGCTTCAAGCATAAGCTTTTTGGCTGGCTGGCTGGCAGAACATTTCCAACTAGTATTGGAATTAAAACCTTCAGAGACAGAAGGGAGCCATATTACATGGCCATAATCAGTGCCATGCAGGGGTGGACTAACGACTCGTGGGGCCCCTGGGCAATAGGGGATCATGGGGCCCCTGTGTCCTCTCCCACACTCAAACTACACCCAAAAAAGCCTATTAAAGGTACCAGGGGCATCTCATGGGGCCCCCTACTGACCCCGAGCCCTCAGGCAGTGCCCAAGTGCCCGAATGGTCAGTCCACCCCTGGTGCCATGTGATCCCCGACTATGTCAGGTGACCAGTGTAGCACCAGCTATTGATACAGAAGAGCCAACAAACTACCAAAGGCAGTGTCATGTTATAAAATCAAACTATCATGATAGAAGAATAGCATTTCTCCAGAATGCCCCATATTATTGGAATGTTGCCAACTGACCAGGGTGCTGCCAAGTGACCAGGGTGCAGTCATATGACCAGAGTGCTTATCATGTGACCAGAGAGCTGCCAAATGACCAGGGTGCTGCCAAGTGACCAGGGTGTTGTCATATGACCAGAGTGCTATCATGTGACCAGAGAGCTGCCAAATGACCAGGGTGCTGCCAAGTAACCAGGGTGCTATCATATGACCAGAGTGCTATCATGTGACCAGAGAGCTGCCAAATGACCAGGGTGCTGCCAAGTGACCAGGGTGTTGTCATATGACCAGAGTGCTATCATGTGACCAGAGAGCTGCCAAATGACCAGGGTGCTGTCATGTGACTAGTGTGCTCTCATGTGACCAGAGTGCTGCCAAGTGACCAGAGTGCCAGTAAATGACCAGAGTGCTAGTAAATGACCATGTGACCAGAGTGCTGCCATGTTATGGAGCGATGCTACACAGTCACAGTTGCACCTTCCCACCTCAGTCCTTAGAATAAAACAAGCCATCGTAGAGAGATAAGTTTGCCGATTTCCCTGCCAGAGAACGCAGCTATGAGTAAGTGTGCCTGCTTTCCTAGGGCGGCTGTCACCCTGGCTTGTGTTCTGTGAATTATCTTCTGCAGCATATGAAAAATGTAAACATTACTACCAATCTCTGCGAGTCGGAAGGCACTGTAAAATTTTTCATTCACAGATTCTGCCGCCCACCCGCAGGCTGATGAAGAATCCTTTTATCCGCAGGATATTTGCTTTACGATCACTTTATGGCTCTTAAACACTGGTAGCGCAGCTTGGAGAGTGTAAAAGGACTTGTTCTCCGGTTACTGCCAGGCGGTGGGGCTTATTTCATTATACTGATGGAAGATATCTCTGTTTCTAGCATACTCATGGATGGACAGTTTTTCAGGTTTCAATGTGTAAAAGAATGGCAGTCAGTTCTATTTTGCAACTGTTTGTTTTTGGGTTATGGGTGTTGGCATTCACTTGTGTTTTGATGTTGTTTAGATTGTAATTGTCTTAGACTTTACAGGATGACTTGTATTTAAAACAAGAGCCGTAGGGAACGCCACCCAGTATCTCCAGTTTATATCGGTCAGTGGAAATTTTTGTGATCAGAATATTGCTATCATTCTTGAATTTTTTGAAAAGAGATTAATATCATCAGGTCACACGATTGCTCAAATGACAATATCTCCAACTGATTTACTGTTTTTACCTGCCGCTAACCGTTCCTCCTTAAACTGGAAACGCAGAGGATTGGGGTGTACAAATGTCATGGCTGCGTCGTGGTGTAGCAAAATAATGCCCCCTGTTACGATCAATGGGCAGTACTGCCTGCTTTATGCGACCCAGTTACTTTATTTGATCCGGGCTGCAACCGCCTTCAGTGAGGTGGATTTTTAGGTGTTAAAACAGGTAGTGAGGAGGAAAAATACCACCTTCTTACCATCTATCAAACAACCTTTGAAGAGCGATCCACCATGGACTGCTAACGCTAGTGTAACCTGGCCCTGAGATCCTAATTTCATTCTGAATTCCCTATGTGCTTGATCAGTGACCCGAAAAGCATTGAAGCCACAGGATTAAAAAAAACAGCCAGGCAAATTAGTATTTCAGAAGGTTGGTGATGGCAACCTTCATAGTTTTCATGCATCAAGTATCCTTTAATGCATGGGGTCTCCACATTTTTCAGTGCAAGGGCTGCATTTTTATATTTTATAAATAATCGCTGGATGAAAAAAAGTCCCTATCGGGGCCCCCTTACATCTGGGTCCCTATCAGAGGCACCCTTTACATCAGGATCCCCATTAGAATCCCTCTTATATCAGGGTCCTCATCAATGCCCCCCCCCCCCCTTTTTACATCAGAGTCTGCCTTAGGAGTCCCACCTTACATCAGGTTCTCTTTAGAGTCCCCACCAGAGTGCCCCCTTATATCACGATCCCCACCAGAGTTCTCCCTTAATTCAGGATCCCCACCAGAGTTCCCCTTAGATCAGGATCCCCACCAGAGTTCCCCCTTATATCAGGATCCCCACCAGAGTGCCCCCTTATATCAGGATCCCCACCAGAGTTCCCCGTTAGATCAGGATCCCCACCAGAGTTCCCCCTTATATCAGGATCCCCACCAGAGTGCCCCCTTATATCAGGATCCCCACCAGAGTTCCCCGTTAGATCAGGATTCCCACCAGAGTTCCCCCTTAGATCAGGATCAAGATCCCCACCAGAGTTCCCCCTTACATCAGGGTCCCCTCCAGAGTCGCTGCTTACATCAGAGGCAGAGACCACATATGGGCTCCATTGACCTTAATCCTCAGTAAATGCGTGTTGAAGATATAGCTGAGGACCAGATAAAATTTTGTAGGGGGTCAGATATGGCCAACCAGCCATCGTTTAAAGACCCCTACTTTAATGGAATACATTTAGGCAAATGAATAATACAGTTGTTGGGTCACATGTTTCTTTTTTTGGAACCTATGTGGTTGCCATTAATCTGGCAATTGCCAGCTGAAAAGTGATATCAGTCTTGTAGTGGGGGGGGGTTTACAGAAGGTAGAAGGCTCCCAGTGGGCGTCACCAGTGTGGTGAAGTTCACAAGGAGGCGGGGCAGTGGCACTGGGTCTGGAAACTGCTTTGTAGCGCAGCAGTGGTGGGAAGTGTGTGTGTGTGGGGGGGGGGGGGGGGTAATCACAAAACGAAATGCTTCACTTTACAAATCCTTTGTCAGGTAAACAATCCCCGTATCTGTGCTCCCACTATTTAACCGTTTGGCTGGAGCTTAATAGAACATCAACCCCAGATAATGAGTCGGCGGCGCTGTAGAGATTTGAACATTGCGTTTGATAAACAGGCAGCACATCTCCACCTGCTCCTCTCCGAGGTTTGCCAGCGCCTGTCGGGGAGCGCAGCTGTCAGTCATCTGTCCTTCGTGTTTGTCAGCAGCAAATATTCACAATTAGCATTAAAACCGCCAGAACGCCACCACCGCTCCTTCGTGACTGGCATGTTGTGATCGCTCGACACGCAACAAACATTAGCTGTAGAGCAAATGAGAGAAGGGAGAGGGCATTGTGGGCCTGGTTGGAGGAAGGATAAAATGCCATTTTTACTGCAGGCGAAATTCATTACAGCGAATGCAAAAGAGAGAGTGAAGGAGGAGGGAAAAGCAATATAATAGCGTAGCCCCTCACCCCACCGCCGCTCTGTGATCTATCCACTCCTATCAAGGCAAGCTGCCGAGGGCTGGCAAATGAGATCACCGTAAAAATCCACATCTCCTTACATGCTGCGTGCGAGCGTAAAGAGGCCCCCCGCAGCCCAGGGCATGCTTGTACTTGTTGTTCTATCTCAATGACAGGTGCACAGCCCTCAAACAATCAATCACTACACTGCCTGTTCTCCTAAATAGCTGCTGCTGCTGGGATTCGCCTAGGCTAGTCATTTCCAGAAGGATGAGTTATTAGCCCTCTTGCCTTGCCGCACCGCAGCCCTGCAATCAATTCCCATTTCTCCTTCCAGCCATCAATGCAGTGCTTTTGGCTGTGGATTATATTAAGCTCCCATTTTAAGATATAAAGAATGGGAAACAATATAAGCGGCTTTATGTTAAAGACTTTTTTCATAATCACTCAGTCTGACCATCCGAAGATGTTTGTGGCCATGGTTCTTGCCATAAACATGCACAGTTGGGTCTCAGTCAAACGCTACAACTTAAAGCTGAACTCTAGCAAACAGTTATATACACAGATGAAATAATTATACAGGAACTGTATTTCGTGTCCATCTAGTCCTGAGATTTACACAGCTCTGCCACTGACTGTTGTCTGCGGGTCCTGTCTCTCCCTCAGCCTGTTACTGGACAGTAAGCAGCTCAATGATGAGCTCATCTCTCTGTCACTCTCTGCTCTCTCCTCCTGTTAGCATGCTCCCTGCACTGTAGCTCAACTGACTGGCTCCTTATATTGCTTCTCCCTTCCCCACTCTCAGCACTGCTGTACAGGGCCATTTCAAGAGGCTGACAAGAGGAACAGCAATATTTAAGTACTTGCACTTTGCTTTTTAAAAAAAAGATGTAAAAACAATTACTGTGCTGCAGGGGTGTATCACCACAAGGCAAACAAGGCATTTTCCAGGGGGGCAGCACCTCCCCCCAGAAGAAGGGATGGAAGAAGGGACAGGAGCACTATGGGAACCAGGTGGGATCCAAGAGAGGCTTCAGGCTGCTTGATGGTGTATATAGAGTCTGACTCTCATTCCCGGGGCTGTCTGGAGCTGTGAAGATGGGTGTATTTCTCTCTCTCGCGGAAGGGGGGGGGGGGGGGGGGGGGGAGGGAATAATGGAAGGCTCTCACAGGTGGAGGGCAGGGGTGTTGTTGGTCAATGTCAGGCTCTCCTGAGGGAGGGGGGGAAAGGGGGGGTGTTGGGTGGTGTCCATGGGGGACAGACAATTTGTGTTGTTGCCTAGGGCAGCACAAAACCTAAATACACCACTGCAGTGCTGCATCAATGCTGTTCCTTTTATATCTGAGTTCACCTTTAAACTTGTTTTGGGAAAGTAGAAAGTAAATGAACAATATTTTAGCCAGCCATCCATTTCTGCTGATTCTTGCTGAATTGTCCAAACTTCGAGCCATGGGTGTTAGAGCCAGATTTAGACCTTGGGAGGGCCCGGGGCACTTCAGGTTCAGGGGGCCCATTATACACAGAGTTGGTTTACATTCTCAATGATAGCCACACATTTTTAAAATGCATGACAAAATGTTATTCTCTCTTCTGAAAATAGTAGTTGCTGTTGTGCAGACCCAGTTAGGGTTTGAGTAAATGACCCTGATTTAGGATCTCCAATATTATTATTGCTTCTGTAAAATATTATATGTGCTTTGCGTGCCATATACTTACAACTTATAATAAAAGACTATTCTTTGAGCCTTAATACCTGATGGACTTGTCCCTTTTTTTTGTCTTTCT